CCCCATCTCCGGGGGTGTAACACCCCATCTCCGGGGGTGTAACACCCCATCTCCGGGGGTGTAACACCCCATCTCCGGGGATGTAACAGCCCCATCTCCGAGGGTCGTAACAGCCCCATCTCTGGGGGTGTAACAGCCCCATCCCTGGGGATGTAACAGCCCCATCTCCGAGGGTCGTAACAGCCCCATCTCCGGGGATGTAACAGCCCCATCTCTGGGGGTGTAACAGCCCCATCCCTGGGGATGTAACAGCTCATCTCTGCAGAGTGTGACACCCCATCCCTGGGGACGTGACAGCTCATCTCTGCAGGGTGTAAAACCTCTCTCTGGGAGCGCATGGAGAATGTGACCCCCCCTTTGCGTGGAATCACTCAGAGTTGCTCCTCCATAAAGCCACAGCCCCACCTCGCATAAATCATCCCAAAAATCATCCAGCTGAAGGTCCTTTTCCACCAGGATCCTGCACAGGCAGCACACAAGGAGCTGGTGTCTGTAGAGGAGGTGGTTTGCAGGGGCCCAGCGGTGACGCCTCGTAAACAGCTGCAAAAAGTGAACAGAAAGAGTCACTCAGAGCTCGTTGGCAGCACCCAGGGTTGTACAAAGGGGAAGTGTCTCACCTATGTTTGTCTGCAACTTCTAGTAATAGTTGCAAAAGTGTCACCTCACTGTGAGTTACGTGATACCCAGGAAAACCAGTTTGAGGGGTAGTTGCACACTTGAAATCTTTGTTTTTAATGCGTTTTAGGAAGCAGAGCTGGGTTGTCAGATATGCCCTGAAACTGCTACTGGTCGGAAGTGGCACACACCAGTATTTACATATTGGATTCACAAAGTAAAGAAATGAAAATATGAAAATATATATTTTTCTCAGAAATAAATATGTAGGATACTTACTTACACTAAGGCTTTTTTGGGTATTTTTTAAACTGCAGTGTGTTCAAAGGCAGTGATCTTCTGGATTTGTCCAAATTTTTGGGTGAAAACATCTAGGAAAAGTGCTTAGAGGCAACTAAATGCCTTTTTTGTTCCTTCCTGGGTTGCTCTGTTAGTGGGATGACTTTCAGGATTTTGATGACTTTCACAGCAGAGGAGCCAGGAGGCAACTGATGGAGTTATTTCTGCGGGGGTTACAGGAAGCACAACTTCTGGATTAGGTGTTTCAGGGTGACAGTCCTGAATTTTAAACATTTACTAAAGATAGAATGTGTTGGGAGCAACAAACATATGCAGTACTGGCTGAAATTGTGGTTTTTGAGGCACCATATTTCTTAAGTTTCCTTCCCTCTTATTTTCAGATCAAATATGTTCAAAACAGGAAGTTTGACTTGTACCTTTTATTTTGTAAGACTTTTCCCTGCTTCGTCTTAGTTTAGACTGGTGGTATTTGCTGTTAAAATCCGAGCTCTGTGATTCAGCATCATTTAGTTGATTTCAGCTCTTGTTTGAAGGTTATTTGCCATTTATAATGTTTGGGTTTTTCCTCCCTTTTTCTCTCCTAGCAGCCATGGCAATGACAGGCCCCACACCGTGCTCGTCCATGAGCAACCACACCAAGGAGCGAGTTACGATGACAAAGGTGACGTTAGAAAACTTCTACAGCAACCTCATAGCACAGCACGAGGAGAGAGAGATGAGGTAAAGATCTTCCTTGTTTCTTTTCCAAACTGGGTAAGAGCCCAAATTTATATTAACTGCATTTAGCTTTCCTGAGCCAAAGCAAAAATCATAAAATCGCAGGATGGTTTGCGTTGGGAGGGACCTTAAAGCTCTTCTTGTTCCACCCCCTACCACGGGCAGGGACACCTTCCACTAGCCCAGGTTGCTCCAAGCCCTGTCCAACCTGGCCTTGGACACTTCCAGGGATCCAGGGGCCACAGCTTCTCGGGGCAACCTGTGCCAGGGCCTCCCCACTCTCACAGGGAAGAACTCCTCCCCAGTATCCCACCTAACCCTGTCCTCTGGCAGTGGGAAGCCATTCCCCTTGTCCTGTTTCTCCATCCCTTGTCCCAAGTCCCTCTTCAGCTCTCCTGGAGCCCCTTTAGGCCCTGGAAGGGGCTCTCAGGTCTCTCTGGAGCCTTCTCTTCTCCAGGTGAGCACCCCCAGCTCTCCCAGCCTGGCTCCAGAGCAGAGGGGCTCCAGCCCTGGGAGCATCTCCGGGGTCTCCTCTGGACTCGCTCCAGCAGCTCCACATCCTTCTGTTGTTCCCGGGGCTGGAGGCAGCTCTGCAGGTGGGGTCTCACCTGAGGGGGCAGAGGGGCAGAATCCCCACCCTGCTGCCCACTCTGTGGGATCAGCCCAGGGCACGGGAGGTTTCTGGGCTGGGTCATGTCCGGCCTCTCATCCACCAAACCCCAGAGTCCTTTTCCCCAAGGCTGCTCCCAATCCCAGTTATCTGCCCAGCCTGTGTTAGTGTTGGGATTGCCTTGATCCATGTGCAGGACCTAAAGGAAGAGTCTTTTCAGAGACAAGGCGGGGTTGCTGTGAGGAGTCACTCACTGCTGCCTGAACCTGTGGCACCTCTTTAAATCCATCAATCCAGTATAAAATGGGATTGGACTGAGCTGTGTGACTTTCCTTTGGCTGGATCTTCTCATTTGCTGAATACCCTCAAGCTGTAGCACTGGGACTTCTACTGTTCTCCCAGCTTGCCATGGAGTCTATAATCAGAATTTGGAAAATGATTCAGTGTTGGTTCCCTTTTGGCCTTGCTGCCAAAGCCATAACGAGCTCCTGGAGCAATGAATGCCAGCTCACTACAGGAGCTGCAGAAATGAGGCAGCAATTCAGAAATAAATCCTAACTTGCAGAGATATTTCCTTCAAAGTTTCAGATTAGGAGAGATCGAGGTCTAATTCAGACAGAAAATATCAGCGATTTAATTCCTTTCTTTCTCTTTGCACAGCCCTTGCTTTTTAAATGTACTTATTTATTATGAGCACTATTGTCTACTCCCCAAAATCTCAATGCTTGGTTTTTTTTCCTGTTTGGGATCAAGACTTTGTCTGAACAAACAGACTGGACTTTATAAGTTGCATGTTTTTTGTAACAGCAGCTGTGTCTGTGGTTGTGCAGTTTGGAGTTTCAGTGGGGTTGACACTGTACCCTGCAGTGCACATTGGGCCTAGTAAGGATATTTGAGGGAATTTAATTCTGTGTACTGCACTGACTGCTGGAGTCACTGGTTTGAGTGTGGACTGGGAGGACTGGACAGGGCTCGGTGGGTTCTTAAATGAGGGCAGAGCATTGAAATGTGCCTGATGGTGAAGTGATAACCCCAAATGTTATCACTTTGCAGCAGCTGCACAGGGCCCCAGGAGACAGGAAGAGGATCTTGTGAAGGATGACTTGCAGAAAGAGAAGGAATTTTTTAGTGCATTTGTAATGTTAGACAGTAAAACCCCCCCAAACCACCAATCCCAGTTCAGCCAGCTGTAAATATGGTTGGCACTGGGAAAAAATTCCCAGAGGATAATCACTGCAAGTGTCCCCTGAAGCCATTCCCCTTCTGAAGTCTTGCTTCCTTCTTTCCTTTCTCCCAAATGACCCTTGTGGACTAAGGCTGTAAATATTTCTGAATTCTTTAAAGAGGAGAACATGTACAGACACGTTTCCTCTTCCCAAATATTTGGAGTATCTCAGGTCTTAGGAAATCTAAAGTAACTTTTCTCCTCTCACATATGATGAGTTTGAGATGCAGAGAAATTTTAAGTGTTTTTAAAGAGCCAATTCTCCCTGGAATAGGTGAGACTTTGATGTTTATTTATTATGGCTCTGCCCTGAAGTGACTTGCCCAGCTGTCAGAACGAGACAAGAATTGAACCCAGATCTCCTCAATCTGGGTTTGTGTACAACAAAAATGTACAGTTGAATAACATGTGAAACTCAGGGCAGGTTTAGATTATTAAAATTGAAGAGGACAAAGCTGGAATTTTAAATTTGGATAGTAGATGCTTCAAAATTAATCTCCTGAGTGTCCCTTGTACATAATACATTTGCTGTTTGCTGGCACAGAGCAGAGCTGGTGGATCTGTGCACGTGATTAAGAAACAATGTTAATGATTCAACCTTTACTTTTCTAATTTGATTAAAAAACAAGGTTAATGATTCAACCTTTATTTTTCTAATTTTTCTCTGCTCTAGACAAAAGAAACTAGAACAAATGATGGAAGAAGAAGGCTTAAAAGATGAAGAGGTAACAAATATGGAAAAATTATCTTAATGCTTAAATACAAGTATTTTTCTTTTCTAAATGGGGATCTGGGATCTTTCCTTGAAGTTGCTGTGATCCCTGTGGAACCCACCTGCAGAATTCTCACTGGGGTTTCTTAAATTCTAGAAAAGAATCAGGAGATCAGCTCATGCACAAAAGGAAACGGAGTTTCTTCGCCTAAAGAGAACAAGGCTTGGATTGGAGGACTTTGAGTCTTTAAAAGTAATAGGCAGAGGAGCATTTGGAGAGGTGAGTCCAGAAAAAACTGTGGTTTTAACTGGCTCTGGAGTCTGTTAAAGGTTTGCTTAGTTTATACAAGCAAAAGGTAAATGTTGTAGCAACCACAGATTGATTTTTAGCTGAACAGTCACGTGCATCTTTTTACCTAATAAATGCTGGTTTGAAACATTCTGTGCTTTAAAGGAACCTGAATGATGTCGAAAAGGACTTGATGGGCAGGTTTGGAGAGGGTTTTAATGGTGAACTCCTGGGGCTGGGCTGAGGGAGGACTGGAGGGCCCTTGCAAAGTCTCTTCTGGTGGCCTTTGGACCACCTGCTTTAGGTGTGAATCGCTCGGTGCCATCTCTGTTAAAATTATCTCTTAGAATTAAGGGGACTTTTTGCTGTTTCTGTGCACTGGGCTTTTTGGGGGCTTTATAATCTGATATGTTTTCATTAAATGGAAGCCAAGGGCTTGGTCCCCAGCTTTGTCCAGAGGTGTGCTGGGTCTGACTGCAGTCCTTGTGTGCTCCCCAGGTGAGGCTGGTGCAGAAGAAGGACACGGGGCACGTTTATGCCATGAAAATACTGCGCAAGGCTGATATGCTCGAAAAAGAGCAGGTAAATACCCCCCTTGAGCAGCACTGAGTGACTCCAGGAGGTCACTGGGATGTGCAGAGGAGGAACAGGCAACTCTAGTTTAGGTTTAGTAGCTAAGAAATTGTGGGGTTTTTGTCCCCTCCTATTTTACTGAGGAAGCAAGTCAGAAAAACCTCCGAATTCCTAAGGACTCGTCTTCTAGTGGGTCTTTCAACACAAACTCGTGCAAATGATTCAGTGTAAACCTCAAGATCAGTGTTTTCTTGCATTTCTGACTTATGGGATCAGATATAAATATCAAAGTGACACAACTGCTGGAATTCAGACTCAGACAGACATAAAGGAGCAGCACTTAACATTTTTAAGGCTTTCCTGTAGTGCTTCTGGGAATAAAATGATCTGAGACAGTCACTTCTTGTTCAGCACTGGGGTGAAGCTCTGGGTTTTCAAAAAGAGATCTAATGGTTAGATATTTTTGTAAAGAACTGAGATATTTTGGGGTGTATGATTTATATTAGATATAGGTTTAATAGGTATATATAATAGATATAAACCATATCTATATAATTAACCATATATTGAAATTCTGATGGTGTTTCTGCCCTTGTGCAGAGGTTTGACTGTTGTCTTCTCAGGATTTGCTGCTTTCCAGTATAATACTTGAATTGCCTGTGCAATAAATGCATCTGCTCAAACTAACCCAAGGCATCTGTGTGTGTCCAGGTTGGCCATATCCGTGCAGAGCGGGACATCCTGGTGGAGGCTGACAGCCTCTGGGTTGTGAAGATGTTCTACAGTTTCCAGGACAAGCTAAACCTCTACCTGATCATGGAGTTCCTGCCTGGAGGTAACTGGAATCCAAAGGCTGCTTTCCTGTTGTTTGGGGATTGATAATTTCTTAATTACAAATGTAGTCTGAGATTAGAGTGTGTGTGGGTACCCTGTGTTTGTACATCTGGGAAGGAACAAGTCTTTGTAAAGGTTTCTGCTTTCTGGGGTACTGAGATGTTTGGGGCAAGCTTGAGGTTTCCTGCTTGGGTTTGAGCTGCAGGTGTTTAAATTAGGCCTGAATATTCTTCAAGTTCCTCCGCTGGCTGTCAGCAGAACCCCCACATAAGCAGGTTTGGATTCTCTAACCTGTTGGTTTTAACTGAATGCAGCAGAAATAGCTTTTTTTCTATAAAGGTCCCAGTTCTTTCCTCATAATGACCTGGACTGACCACATGGACTGATAAAATCCCAAATCTGGTTTTCCTGACTGAAAATTGAAAGTGGTGGTGGGACAGTGGTACCTGGAGGCTGCAGGGGGAGAAGTTCCAGTGGGAAACTGGACAAAAGGTCCCAATTCTTTCCTCATAACAACCTGGACTGTCACATGGACTGTTAATTTGATGTCTTAAATTAGTGAGAGTGGAGCCTGTGTGTTCACCTTTGGGGGGTTTCCAGGTGACATGATGACACTGTTGATGAAGAAAGACACTCTGACAGAGGAGGAGACACAGTTCTACATCGCTGAGACCGTGCTTGCCATTGATTCCATCCATCAGCTGGGCTTTATCCATCGGGATATAAAACCAGACAACCTCCTCCTGGATAGCAAGGTATGGACTGGCCACTCCCTGGGGAGGATAAATAGGCCTTGTGATTTTTAATATTGACCTTAACTAGTGTTGAGGGTTGTGAAAGAAGATGGTGCTTCTTTTTTTTAGCCCTGTTCTTTCCGGCTTTTGAGGTGTAGCTGCCATAATCCTGGGAAAAACCCAAGCCAGGAAAGGTCTCCCTTCCACCCCAGCTGTGCTCAGACCTCAAGCTCTCTGACAGCTGTTTAAGCTGTTTTTGGGTGTTTCAGCTGGAGTTTCAGTTCTCCCCTCGTAGTCAAAGCTGTTTCCTTTTGCTCTCACATCTGTTACACTCCCACTTGCCAGCATGGGGGTACACAGTTCTATCAAACATGAAGGATGTGGCTGTTCCAGACTGAGAATGGAGGTGGGATCTCCCTCAGGATCAGGATCTGTTCCTGAGGGCTGGCCAGGCTACCTGGTTATTGCAGGCAGTTTGCAGAAAGCCTCACTGTTTGAGTATCCTCCTGTTGCTTACTCCAAATATACCTAAAATCAAGCTTGCTTGGAAAAGGTTTGCCAGCAGTAAATAATTCCTTTCCCACTACCAGGTTGGAATTACTGATGTAAATAATAGAATCACAGAATCCTGGACTGATTTGGGTTGGAAGGGACCTTAGAGATCCAGTTCCACCCCTGCCATGGACAGAGACCCCTTCCACTATCCCAGGTTGCTCCAAGCCCTGTCCAACCTGGCCTTGGACACCTCCAGGAATGGGGCAGCCCCAGCTTCTCTGGGCACTGTGTCCAATTCAGTGTGTTTACATCTAGATGTAGATAAATTTTGGGCTTTGAAAATATATATTTTAGATATACTTCTAAAAATTGCACTTAATGTGGTCATGTTATGCACCAGGACAGATCCAGTCACTGAATTTAAGGTGTTTCTCTGTCTCTTGGGGTCAGTTCACAACCCAGGGGCTGCAGCTGCATCTGGAGATGTTTCCTTTCACTCTGAAGTGATTGGGAGCTGCAGGAGCAGAGGCTTCTTGAAGGGCTTTCTTTGTGGAATAGTGATGAAAGTATCAATAGCTCCATTCCACATACACATCCAGTGTTAGGCTAAAACAAGGAATGCAAAGGACATGGAGGTGCTGGAGCGTGTCCAGGGAAGGGAACGGAGCTGGGGAAGGGGCTGGAGCACCAGGAGTGGCTGAGGGAGCTGGGGGGGGCTCAGCCTGGAGAAAAGGAGGCTCAGGGGGGACCTTCTGGCTCTCTGCAACTCCTGAAAGGAGGTTGTGGCCAGGTAGGGGTCAGGTTCTGCTCCCAGGGAATAAGGGACAGGACAAGAGGAAACAGCCTCAAGCTGTGCCAGGGGAGGTTTAGGTTGGATATTAGAAAAGATTTTTTCCTGGAAAGCATGATCAGACATTGGAATAAGTTGCCCAGGGAAGTGGTGGAGTCACTGTCTCTGGAAGTGTTCAAGAGGCATCTGGATGTGGCACGTGGGGACACAGTTTAGGGGGATGAAGGTGATGCTGGGCTCTCTTCCAACCTTGCTGATTCTGTGATTTGCTCTGATAATGTCTTGTCTTGGTTCTGTCTTTTGGTTGGTTTGTTCATTTCTAGGGCCACGTGAAACTCTCAGACTTTGGTCTGTGTACTGGACTGAAGAAAGCCCACAGGACAGAATTTTATAGAAACTTGAACCACAATCTTCCCAGTGACTTCAGTAAGTTCTTTGGCTCCAAAGGGTATCTGGGTGGTTGTTCTCAGTGCCTGACATAACTCATTTTAGTGTGAAGGTAGAAGGCTACAGTGGGGGTTTTAATAATTAAATTACATCTTGAGGTGTACTTTTGATTTCCTGTAAAATAAAAATAGTTTCAGTTACTTAAATGTACAAACCCATCTTCACTTCCAGAAGTTTGTCTCTGAAACAGGCCCTTTGCATGTGTAATAAATCTGGCATGAAAAGATGGTGGCTGGATCTCAAGTGTTATTTAAATTAATAAGCAAGGACAGGCTCTTTGAATATACTTGGATATGGAATAACTTGGATCATGGATTTAAATAAACCCTGCAAGCATGGATCAATAATGAAAGGCTGTTGTCAATCAGATGTTCTCAATCTTACAGGGGTTTGGAAGTTGCTGGTAGGTTTAGATTTAGGGTATTGACACCTGTCTTAAGTAAGATCTTTAGTGTAACAGTTTGGGGGTTAAAATGTGTATTGGGTGACTCTTAGGATTCAGTCACAGATATTGAATCTCCTTTAGCTTTTCAGAACATGAATTCCAAAAGGAAAGCAGAGACTTGGAAGAGGAATCGACGGCAGTTGGTAAGTAGGTCTCACATGGATGCCCATGGAAGGGGTTAAAGCATTCCAGAGTTCTGAACAATCCTGAAAGGAAGAGATTGATGCTTTTTTTTTTTTTTTTTAAAAAAAAAGAGGAATTACTCTAATTTGTCCTTCACCCATCTGCTGAACAGCTGGTGACACATGTGCCTGAGATGGCACTGCCAGAATTATTTGCATGGATATCTGATGCCTGCCAGCCAGAACTAAAGGTTCTTGCCATGCAATCTAACAAAGGGCTGCTGACCCATTCCAAGGTGTATCTGGACAGTGGTACCTTTCCCCACATTCCTGATGGTATTTTAAGACACCTGCACATGAACATGTTGACTTTGTCTCTATATATCATGAAATAAAGGCTTTACCCAGCTTTGCTAAGGGATCTCAAGAGACAATCTGGTGCCTTCCTTAAAATAACCAGTGTTGTGTAAGTCCCCACTTCCACGTCAGGCAGTTTTCCCTAAAGATGTATGACTGATGGTGTTTGTTCCAGGCTTTTTCTACTGTGGGAACTCCAGATTACATTGCTCCTGAAGTTTTCATGCAGACTGGGTACAACAAGCTGTGTGACTGGTGGTCCCTGGGGGTCATCATGTACGAGATGTTGATTGGTAAGTGTAAACAGGGACTGTGGTGTAGGATTCCAGCTGCATTTCATGGAATCATGGAATTCCAGACTGGTTCGGGCTGGGAAAGACCTTAAAGCTCATCCAGTCCCATCCCCTGCCATGGGCAGGGACACCTTCCACCAGCCCAGGTTGCTCCAAGCCCTGTCCAGCCTGGCCTGGGACACTTCCAGGGATGGGGCAGCCACAGCTTCTCTGGGCACCCTGTTTATGTGCTCAGAGCATCCACTCCTTCCCTGGTCAGTGAGGTGTGCTCTGACCAGCACACTGCAGACTTCAGGAACTGTTTTTCCTTTATCTCAGACTGTATTTTTGTTTCTTTTCAGGTTACCCACCCTTCTGTTCCGAGACTCCTCAAGAGACTTACAAGAAAGTGATGAACTGGAAAGAGACCCTGACATTTCCTCCAGAAGTTCCAATCTCTGATAAAGCAAAGGATCTTATTTTAAGGTGCCAGTCACATGGTTTGCCAGTTAATATGGCACTGATTTTCTTGTCTTGCTAACTGTGTTCTGTGCCTCTCATGGCTTGTTTCACGTGGAAAAACCCTGATGGTACAAATGTTGGGCACGTGCACCAAATGCTGAACTCCCTCGTCAAATACTTTTGTCTCTCAGGTCATTAAGTTGTTCCCTGACTGCTCTGGCAAAATGTTTCTGCTCCTTATTTTGCTTGCAAGCTTCTCATGGAAGCCACTTTAATCCTTTTGCCAGAGTGGCTTCTTACAACAGGAATGATTTTGCCATTGTATGCACTGGAGCATACAAATGTATCCCAGTGCTTGCTGACTCATTGTATTTCCAATCACTATCTATTCTCAGGACAGAAATATAAAGGTCTACATTTTTAGTCTTTATATGTTCTCCTGCTCTATCCTGGTCCTGAAATAGAAAGGCCACATTATCCTGTTGTGAAGGAATAGCACATCTTAACTGTGGCATTGGACACGACATTCCTGAACATAACTTTGTGTGTTGGTTTTGCTGTGGGAGTTCTTAGTCTGCTCCATTTACATGTTAAGAAACTGTAGCAGTATCAGTCCAGAAAGCTGTTCCATTTCTGGGTGGAATGCTTTCGTTTTCATTCTCCCTTCATTTTCATTCTTCCTTCCATCCCAGATTTTGCTGTGAATGGGAGCACAGAATTGGTGCATCTGGTGTGGAGGAAATAAAGAGTAACCCATTCTTTGAAGGGGTTGATTGGGAGCACATCAGGTAAGATGCTCTGCAGAAAAGGAAGCTGCTCTTCTCTAGGGACTGTCCAGGCCAGTCCTGTTCAGCAGCAGGGAGCAGCTGAGTGGAATTTATCATATCCAGGTGTGGGTGAAAGTATTCTGTTTCCTACCTGAAGCTTGCTGAGGTTTAGGTGCTTTCAGTCTTGATTCTGTTAAGAAAGGGAAAGTGGCTGAATCCTGCTTTGTCTTTGAAATCTTAATGCTCCATCTGCTCTCCTTGGCAGAGAGAGACCTGCTGCGATTTCCATAGAAATTAAAAGCATTGATGATACCTCAAACTTTGATGAATTTCCAGAATCTGATATCCTTAAACCAACAGGTAAATGATTGTTTGATTCTGCATGTGAACAATCTTTCCTCTTCTCCAGTAAAATCATCTTTCCTGTTAATCACAGAAAGGATCTTACTAGATGCTAACTTTTTTTTCTCATGACCACATGCCTTGGTAGCCTCGTGGTGCAGGGTGTGCAAGCTGGAATTAGGGTTCCAGGAGATGCAGGATGGAAATGATGGGGGAATTATCTGAGAAAGGGCATCTCTGAGGCAGCAGAGCTCCCAGCGAGCTCAGATCTCAGCAGGACCTTGGTACTGGCTGATCCCTGCTGGCACAGCTGGCACTTGGAGTAGTGGGTGGGGAAGGCTGGGACAGAAAGGGGATGTTTTGGTGTAAATTTCTAAAGGATCACAGCATAGTCACACATTTCTCCATGAGTTTAAACACAGAATCACAGAATGGTTTGGGTTGGGAGGGACCTTAAAGCTCATCTCATCCCACCCCCTGCCATAGGCAGGGACACCTTCCACTAGACCAAGTTGCTCCAAGCCCTGTCCAACCTGGCCTGGGACACTCCCAGGGCATCCACCACCTCTCTGGGCAACCTGTGCAAGTGTTTCACAGCCCACACTGTAAAAAATTTGTCTGAGTCTACCCTCTTTTAGCTTAAAATCATTGTGCCGTGTCCTGTGTTCCAGCAGTTCTTTCCTGGGCTTGAAGCACAAAACTGAATCCTGGGTTTATGATATTTTTTTCCTGCCCTATTCCACATCCAACACAGTGGAGGAAGGACATGGTCAGGGAAAATAGTGGGGTTCCTTTAGAGTGATGGGGGTCCCAGCCAAGCTGGGGATTTGAAAAGCACCTCAGCCTTGGATGGGTACAAGGGCCAGAACGGTTGGTCAGTTTGTTTGTCTGTTTGTTTTTGGCTCATCCAGTGTTTTGTATGAAAATAAACTTGGCAGTCTCCAAAGGGTAACTTTATTTCTTCTGTGTCTTCCCAGTGGCAACAAGCAACCACCCAGAGACCGACTACAAGAACAAAGACTGGGTTTTTATCAATTACACCTACAAGCGTTTCGAGGGCCTGACGGCCCGAGGGGCAATCCCATCCTACATGAAAGGAGGGAAGTAACACAGCTTTACCTGGGACTTCTGAGCCGTGGAATTCTGTTGCTGTACTTTGGGTTTATACCCATAAAAGAATTTTTTTTTTTTTTAGAGAAAACTTGAGGGCTATCAACTCTTGGAGAAGACTTCAGGACCCTGTTTTGTTACACACCTGGTTGTTACTAAGGATTTTTTTTTCCTGCGCCATTGAAAAATTCCACAACGTGTTTGCACCATCTCTGCTGCCAGCACCTTTTGCTGCTTCAGGAGCAAGAGTTTTTCCTTTTTAAATCCTTTGCCAGATTGTACAGTCCATCGGGAGATGGGAGCCTTCCCTTTGGCTTTGCAAAGCACGGGATTCTGTAGGATTGTTTGCCAGTCCTGCATTTAGTGACAAACTCACTCTGCCAATTCTGCCAGCACTGTTTGCCCAGTGGCTGAGGACTCCAGTAACAAAGCAATAATTAAGCTTGAGACAGACAACTCTCCAGGAAACTGTTGAGCAGAAGGACACAACTGGGATTGCCTTAACCTTAGTTTGTAGTGCTGTTTTTATAATGCTTCTTGGAAGCCTCTCAACAGCATTTCTCAGCTCTGTCACAGTGGCCTCCAGTCCTGGTGCACTTTACTTTTGGTACTAAGTTACCCTCAAGCCATTTAATATTTTTTCTAAATTAAGAAATTGTGCAACACTTTTCCTTCCCCGGATAGAGGAGAAAGGGTCCATTCCCTGCTCCGAGCACCGAGTCTTTGGTTACTGTGTGACAGGGGGGATCTGTAAACAGCCCAGATAAACCACAGCTGGTCACACTGTTGTGCATCTGGAATTAGAGAAGAGGGAGGGAAGTTTCTTGAACCTGATCCTTGGTGGGTAAGTTGTGCAGAGCTGGCTCAGCCCGAGGCTCCCTTGGCTGGCTGGTGCCATCTCTCGGCCATATCTGAGCTCTGCTACATCTTCACTGGTTTAAAGACAAAAAGACATCTGTGGTGTTTTTGCTCTTGGTTTTGAGCAGAACAGGATCAGAATGTTGCTGATGGAGGCCTGCCTAGTGTTTCCTTACAGAGCTGCTCTTGCTGTCCTGGCTGAACCATCTGTCCCAGTCTTCCACAGACTGGGGTCACTTTTGGGGCAGTGGAACCCACCGTGTCCACTCTTAGATTATTGCCTACTATAACTTATAAAAGTTCTGATCAGGTTCTCTACAGGAGAGCCCCAAAGTGCCTTTCCTTGCCTAAGCCTCTCTGGGAACATGGTACCATTTTGGGAGGGAGGGTTCTGCCTCAGTTGAGCTTTTCCTAATTCCTTTTTCTAACCACGAGCTCCACGTTGAGCCCGTTTGTAGTTAACTCTGCACTTCCAGGGGCAGGTGGCATTAACCCTTTGGGTCTGCCTGGTTCCAGTCTGTAATTTCCAATCAGATTGATAAAAATTATAACTTTTTGAGGTTTCTAAAAGCACGTCTCAGTTTGAATTATCTTGGATTCCTGCAGACTTGTGTTGGTGCTGAACACTAACTCCAGAGTACAGACAAGACAAAGCTCGAGTGATGTTTCACAGGAAAAAAAAAAAAAAAAGGCTTCCAGGGCTGTTTAGTCTTGAATTTCTTGATTAGGAAACAAAACAAAATGGGTTTGTAGTGGAACTTTTTTTAATAGGTGCTTTTAGGGAATTTTTGCCTACGTGTCTCTTGAGTGCCATCCTGAAGGACTGACGGGGGATTGCCAGTACTGTACAGAACTCCTTCGTGTCCTCTCCTCTCCCTCACCACCCCCTGTGCTTTTTGTACTTGTCCCACGACTTCAGTGACTTGCCATAAGCAGTTTAGGTACCAGTTGGATCCTACCAAGCTGAAATGCAAAGTAGCCTTAATCAGAAGTGATCCCAGGATCACTGTAGTCAGTAGGGCTCACTTAGATGAATAAGGGCTGATGGAAGGAATGACTTATAGGATCAGGCTTTTACCAACTCATCCCTAAGATCACCTTCTGCTCCCTTTGTACTTTGTGTGAAGGGCTGATACCAACTTCTCCTGCAGTTTCTTCCAGCCATTTGAAAATGTTGCCTTATAAACCATTGGAAATAATATAAAACCATTTTTTTTTCCAATTCCTAACTACTTAGTTACTGCCTTAAAATGAAATAAAACAAAAATCAAAATCCTTTCAAGCTGCTGTGGATTAGCAACAAATGATTTTGAGATAGTAGCTGCATTCGTAGCCCTTTACTGAAAGGGACCAGCATTTTTATTTATAAATACCAAAGAAGCTAAACAATTATAAGTTGTGATGACTTGCTGTGAAAAAAACAACTCTCTAGTACTGTGTATTGTGCATTTTTAGTGCTGTGTTAGAAGTGTGACCCCTCAGGTCACTGAGCTCAAGGTGGTTTTTCAAAGGCATGAGGAGCAGTTGGGTACCTCATTCCTGTTGTCTTCCAGCAGAAGTTGGATGTCTTTGAATCCAGTCCTCTTGGACACACCTTCAGTGGTAGCATCTGTATCCCAGGTGCATTTTAAGCCTGCTTCCTATTCCAGTTTTTCACCAACTTTAGGGAAAAAAAGTGTGTCCTACAGTGTCTCCTTCCCAGGATCCATAATTCACTGCTAAGGATTTTGGATGCCTGTTCCATCTCCCGTGGTAGCCAAACATTTTCCTTAGCTGCTTGTGTTTTGAGGTTGTTTGTATCTTTGGCTCTTTTTTATTAACCTGCAGTTGCTGGACTTGTAGGAGTAATTCCAGCCTGAATTTCCAATGGATCTGAACACCTTATGCTGCCAGTTCATCTCTGTATCATGCCTAGCACAAAGCTGCACTAAGTGTTTCTTATCACTGTGCCCCGACTCTGCCTTAACCTCTTCAGTTGAAAAAGCATTCTGTAAATATTTAAAAGCTGTTCCAAAATTGCACTGTAAAATTTGGCAGGTGTAGTCAACTTTTTATGGATAGATCTCATTGTGTTGTGTAAATAAATAAAATCCACTTCGTAGACACACTGTTGCTGGCACGTTGTGTTTTACAAACTGGAATTGTGGAATCCCAGACTAGTTTGGGTTGGAAGGGACCTTAGAGATCCAATTCCACCCCCTGCCATGGGCAGGGATGCCTTCCACTAGCCCAGGTTGCTCCAAGCCTTGTCTGACCTGGCCTTGGACACTTCCAGGGATCCAAGGGCAGCCACAGCTTCTCTGGGCAACCTGTGCCAGAGCCTCCCCACCCTCACAGCCAAGAATTTCATCCCAATATCCCATCTAATCTTGCCCTCTGGCAGTCTGAACCCATTCCCCTTGTCCTGTCACTCTGGTTCCTGATGAACAGCCCCTTCTCCACCTTCCTTGTAGCCCCTTCAGATACTGGAAGGTGCTCTTGAGGTCTCCACACAAATCTCACCTTGTTCAAATTCTTAATGCCTTTCCCAAGCTTCATCATGAAAACCCTGGAAGTCCATCCAAGGCTGAAGGTGGAAATCAAAGCCAGACCTGCTCCAAAGCTGTTTTCTTCCAAAGGCAAGGAGGCAGAAGTGCAGAGCACCTTTCACAGCACTGACCAAAAATCCTGGGGCTTGTCAGAGATGCTGCAGTTTGAGGGTCAAGGGGTGTTGTCCCAGGCCTGGGCTGCCTTTGGAACATCCCTGCAGTGAGTTGGGATGAGCTGAAATAAACTCAGAGTCCTCTCAGCACAAAAGGTGGGAACATCTCTGCAGTTGGTCCCTGCCAAATCAACCAGGCTCTGTCTGATGCCAAGCTACTCCTGAGGCTTTGGGATCACAACCACAGGTACTTTATGAAGCAAGGAAACAAAACCTTCTATCCCCCTATCCCCAGCCTGTTCTTCTGCTCTTCTACTTGTTTTAAAACAAGTTGTAAAACAGCCAAACAAGCCACATATAATTTATATTTTAATACAGAAACCATACATCTGGAGTTCATACACAGCATGGGGAACACTTCAGTACATCTAGAATAAGACAAGAGTTGACCTTGTACCTGAAGTAAGTGACCATGAGAGGAGGAAAAGCAAACACTTTTTCAATTTTGTTCAGTGTTCCAATGGAATTCACTTTGCTAACGAAAATTAAAATCCCAAATTCATCTTTAATTACTTGGGAAAGCCAATAAACTGCACTGGGCGAGTGGTAAAAACTTCATGGAAATCCTGGGAGCTGGAGGTCCAGTTGATTACACAGGGAACCACGAGCTCCTCCAGGCAGTGACAGTCTTTAACCCATGGCCACTATTTCTGACAAACTGGCCAGACCCTTCCAGAAGCTGAGCTGACCCTTGGGCTCAGGGACACACATGGTGGGATGTGGTTTGGCTGGCCATGGTACTTTGCTGTCAGATCCCAAAAGGTGCCATCGAGGTCCAATTCTCAGCACCTGATGCCTTGACAGAGTCCTGAAGAGGAGCTTTCAACAACACACCCCCTTCAGTCCCTGGAGCAGAACATGTGTAAGCTCCAACTCCAACTCAGCTGGGCAATACCAATACTCAAATAATTAAAACTGACACTGTAGTAAAAATAAATATGCACTGAAAAACATAATCACAGGGCCTGGGGGCAACTTCCATCCCTGCTGGGCACACACAGGCTCACCAGTGCTGCTGTCTGTCCTGAGGGAACGGCTCATCACCAAGGCTGGGAATGGGGTTGGTCTGGCCCCTGGTGGGAGGTTAATGGTCCATATGTCTTCCTTTCTCTACTACAAAAATAGAAATTCATCTGGAGCAACAGAGGGAGTGACTGCACACCCCCTCAGCTCTGTGCAGGCACTGAAGGACACTTCTTGTACTGACCCAATGACACAGAGGGAGGAGTTTTCAAAAGTGGAACTTGGGCATCTGAAACCCTGGGACCTGAAATCTTCCCATAGGCACTTTTAAAAAGAAGAGATCTATTTGCTGCACTTGGGAAAAAAGCTAAGAACAGAAACAGAAACCTGTATCCACACAAATGGGAACCGAACGTATCAGCAACAGGTGTCTTGGCAGAGATTTGTTACCTGTAACTAAAAAGTTTTGCTTGATCTTGTCATGTTACAGTGAAAACCACAACCATCCTCAGCAGCAAACAGCAGCAATCCTCACTGGTCAATAAATGCTCCATGCACTTGGCAGTCAGGGGGAGAATAATACAAAGTGATGTTTGATGCAGTCCTGATAATAAACGATTAAACTTTCTAGGGGCAGACTAATACTGACCTCTGCTTTGCCAAGTCTGACCAGGTAACTCAGTGCCCAAATGGTCCAGGTTTCAACACCATCATAAGAGCAGCACTGACCTGAACAACTTTGCAAGGAACCCTGTCCCTCTTTCTTCTTGAATGGTTTCAGCTTTTCTTTGCAGCAGCACCATGTTTAAATACTGCAGTTCTGGAGTCTTTAACCCCCCTCCAGCCAGAAGGGATGGCTCTGTGAGGCTGCCCTGTTCTGAGTGCCCTCAGCTCAGCTGGGGCAGAGCTGAACTCACCATGTGCTCATCAGTGGTTAAGTCAGCCTAGAGGGAAGTCCTACAGGTAATTCCTACAGAAAATTCCTAAAAGAAACTCCTGCTGCAGGAACAAGACCAGCAAGCTCCAATCTATCTATGCTAAACCAGCCTGGAGTGTGTCTGTTCTCACAGTCACAGCTTTGTTGGCCCTGAACCCAAAATTCCCAGAGCCTTACACAGACCAGGATACTACACTCAGAGCAGCAAAGGAGTTGTTGCCAGGTATGTGTATTTTTCTCTCCTGAGGGCTGGGTTACTATTGGTATTTCTTACCTGTCTGACAACAAAACAGTCCACTCAGTTCCACACTGGGAAGTAGTTGGCCTTTTAAAGCTACAGCAGCACAGTGTTCCTTGGAGAGTCTACAGGAATTCTGACCAACTAAGGTGGATGAGACCATGGATTTTACTCAGGTACTGTTTGTTCTGGGAGCTCCTCCACTGGCTTTTTTTGTCTTAGCAGGGGGATGGAGGAGACAACTGAAAGTCTGTAGCATGCACAGTCACCTCTAGAAAGGTTCACATCTACTTGGCTACTAAACAGATTTACTTGGTTGGTAAAACATCAGCTACAGTCTCTTTTGGGTTTTCCTTCAGCACCATCTACTCATTTTACTGAACTTAACAGAAAACATCCCTAAAAACAATGATTCCATCTCATGGAGAAGTATGTATGGGAAATTCCTGTGAACAGGCATAAGCTTCCTATGGACCTGTTTTATCCTAGACAGTACAGCATGCTGGATCCAAAGCCAGGTGGCAGTGCAAACAGATTCCTCCACGCTCAGGATTTTGCTGTCACAACTGTGCTACATTTCTGCTGGTTGATGAAAGAGCATCATCTGTCCTGCTTTGATGTTCACTCCTCTGTAACTGATTCCCACAAAAGCAAAGCTAAGTGCCTAATGGTAAAGGAAAGCTTTGTCTTGACAGGCCCAGAACTTCCTCTCTCATGTCAAACAAGATGTTTCTACATAATTGTGCTCTTCTTTTAGAAGTTTAGATAAAATATTCAGCACCCACCGATCCGGAAGCCTTTGTAGTAGGAACAAACGGCATCATTTCCTTTTTGTCTGAGGAGATGTTGCTTTTGATTGCACAATTAAGACTATGGAGTGTGGCTCTTTATTAACATGCTTGTAATATGACAACGCAGTAAGAGCATGAAGGAGGATAAAGCACCTTGCAGGAGTCTGTGTTCTGAGACCACGCTGAGATGTTCCCACATCCAGCAGGATCCTCCAGCACTAATCCGGAACGTCGTTAAAAACCATCTGGGAGAAGGGGGCGTTCAGCCTGTCCAGTTCATCCACTTGGGGGGGGTGATGCATTATCACCTCGTGGTCCTCTGAGACATCATCCCCCACCGTGACCAGGTTTGTGAGGGATTTGCTCCGGACACACTGGAAATCCACGTGGCGGCTCTTGCCCTCTTCCTTCTCCCAGGACATCTGGATGAACGGCCGCTGGACGTAGTTGTAGATCACTTCTGAGCGGCCACCAGGCCTCCTCTTCACCTTCTCTTTGCAGGTGGGATAGCCTGGAAACACAGACAGCCCCTCAGCTGCACTGCACCCCTCTGACTCACAACAGCATTCCAGAAGAGCCAGGTGGGAGTGACTGTGGGGTCAGGGTGGGACACACACACACAGCTCAGCAGATAAATGTTCACATTCCACATTTTACATTACTGGCTTGCAAAAGACCGTTCTCTTTTCCCCTGCCAAGGGGTCCTGGAAGGCTGGACATTCCTCAAGAAGGAAAACTTGAAGCTGCAGGAGCAGGCCATTCCCATGTGCCAAAGGTGGGGATGAAAAGGAGGAAGAAGGGGCAGGCAAATCAGGAGGACTCTGAGGATGTCATGAGGTTATGCAGGGGAAAAAATGAGAAGGGCCAAGGCTAAACATGAGGGCAGATGTACCCAGGTGGGCAAGGAGGCCAAGGGCATCCTGGCCTGGACCAGCAACAATGTTCCAGTAGGACCAGGACAGTGATTGTCCCACTGCTGAGCCCACACCTTGAATCCTGGGGTCAGAACAAGACAGACATTGAGGGGCTGGAGCAGGTCCAGAGAAGGGAACGGAGCTGGGGAAGGGTCTGGAGCACCAGGAGCAGCTGAAAGAGCTGGGGGGGCTCAGCCTGGAGAAAAGGAGGCTCAGGGGGGACCTTCTCACTCTCTGCAACTCCCTGACAGGAGGGGGGAGCCAGGTGGGGGTCAGGCTCTGCTCCCAGGGAACAAGGGACAGGATGAGAGGAAATGGCCTCAAGTTGAAGCAGGGGAGGTTTAGGTTGGATATGGGGGAAATTTTTTTCACCAAAAGGGTTGTCCAGCCCTGGCACAGCTGCTCAGGGCAGTGGTGGAGTCACCATCCCTGGAGGGACCTAAAACATACGTGAATGTGGTGCTTGGGGACACGGTTTAGTGGTGGGCTTGGCAGTGCTGGGTTAATGGTTGGACTCAATGATCTCAGAGGGTTTTTCCAACCTAAATGATTCCATGGTTCTCT